TGTCTTTTTTGTGTTCACGGGCCGCCCCCGGTCCCTCGCGACCCCTGGTTCCCCTTGGCCCCCCCCCCGCTCCCGGGGGGGGCGAATCCGCCCCCCCCCCCCCCCCCCCGTGTATTGAATTCTGTCTAGACATGAATAGGTGGAACTTCTCCTACTGTTGTTCGACGCAGTTACTTCGTTCCACAATGTATATTTTGCATCTTTTTCAATATGACTGGTCCTGTCTTAATTCAATTGTCACTGTTATATCAACAATTGCTTAGAACCTCTTATCAAGGTAATTCGGAAGAAAAGAGCAACATCTGGTACAGGTGCCATAAAACTTCATCGCGATAATACAAAACTACATATTCATAAAGGTGCTTCAGTCTATCTCGAATCGAAAGGTATCAAAAATCATTGGACAACCACTGAATTCTCCAGAGTCTGCACTATATGATTTTTTGGTTATTCGATCTGATCAGAGCATCTCATAATGTTCATACTGTGTCGTAAGCAAGATCATGAATTCGATTAACAAATACAACTACAAAAAAATACTTTTCGATAAATGGTTAGAACGAATGTAGTTGTGTGTAAATAACCAGGGCAACTACTCTGAACATTCAATGAAATAAAATAAAATAAAATATAGCATAACTTGTTTCTGTATTTTTTTTTTATTGTTGAAAATCTCTTTACTTTTTGTATGCTCTAAATATTTGGAATTATCATCGAATTCTGAACAAAACGAAGAATATAATAAATCAAAACTTCAACTATTATTTTTTTTCGTAAATTTCTTGGATCGTAAAAGTTCGAAAAATTCCTTTCGCTGGGTTCTAGTGGAAAAAATTCAGCTACTTTTAATGTAAATTACCTGACATTTTTTAAGTTACTTGGATCATTATTAATAAAATTTATAACAAAAATTAGAAAGGAAACTAATATGCATAACATTAGAGAAAACAAAAGTAGACTGTATGCTTCTCTCTTTCATTAATAATGATCGAAATAACTGAATACATTGTCAACTATGGTACATTAAAAATAGTTACATTTTATTAATAATGATTCAATACTACTTTTAATTTATTATTCGATGCAGTTATGCTTGTTAAGCAATGATGTGGTGCTCTGCAAGCATGTTAAAATTCGAACAATTTTATATAGAAATTTTATTTGTACGTTACTTTTCGCAGTAAAATGCAAAATTTGCCGTTTCGCTAAAAATAGAAATTCCATAACGGCTGGTATTTTATAAATAGTTCAACTCCAGCTAAATGAAAATCAGTCGAAATTCTACTGATATCATAGCCTGCATAGACTCTATTTAGAATGAAATTCCATTACACTTGGTCATTCTGTTCTGTTTCGGTTTTTCTTTCTTTAGTTTAGAATATCGCTAAATTTCCAAATGAAGAATATATCAAATCAGGAAAAAATCCTAAAAAGTTCCTCGAAGTGTCCATTCTCATTAACATTCAAAATATTTGTTTGATTTTCAATTTTCTTTATGATTAAACATTGATCATATTTGATTTTTTGTATTACATCTACACGTCTTTCTTCCTCTATTTTCAATAGATGTGAATCATTTATAACAAAAATATCATTTCAACCTGAGTCATGTCTTTCTATTTTTATCATTTGGAAAAGTTAAAGTGGTTGCGTAGAGAATTGTCATAAATTCTTCTCAAGAAATTGTCAAGCAATCATTACTAATCAGCTGCATAAAAAGCGCAAATTTGCATCACAACAGTTTAGAAATTAATATGACTCAAAGCAAAAAAATTCTATTTCTTTAATACAATTGATGATATTAGTAAATGGAGCAATCTCATATATACTTTATTATGCTAATCGTCTATTGGATAGTTTTCTTTATATATTATCTTTTTCGACGAATTTTTACAATTGTAAATGGTGAAGTAAGAGTCTGTATACATTTTTTATTTGGCAACAACTAAAAATTTTTTTTCCTCATACTAGCTATCATCTCAGAATCATTTTATCATTATATGGCTTGACAAAACACATGATTATTCTACATTAATGATGATAAAAAATATAAATGCAGATCGTATCATTACATTTACGTCACCTGAAGATTGTGTCACGTATATAGAATCCTTGAAAAATACAAATCAACCAATTTGTTTAATTACGGCAGGTGCATTAGGTGTAACTGTTATTTCATTAATTCATAATATTGACCAAATCAAATCAATTATTGTTTTTTGTATGGAAAAAAACAAAATATGAATATATGCAAAAACGTTATAGAAAAATTCATCAAATTTTAAATACACATAAAGAATTAATAATTCATTTACAAATTTATCTCAAATCAATCGATCAATCTAGATCAATAATTAATATATTTGATAAAGAAAAATTAAAAATTTTACGTAATTTTAATTCTATATCAGATTCTTCTCATCTTAAATATACAATATTTGATGAAAATAAACAATATTCAATGCGTGATATTTCAAAAACAGATACTTTCTTTTTATGGCTTAAATTAATTAGAAGTGTTTTACAAAAAGTTCATCACACACATAATACAATGAAAGAAATGTTAGATGAATGTCGAGATTATTATAAAGATAATATTGAAGAATTAAATAAAATAGAAGAGTTTAGTAAAAAGTATAAAAGTGAAAATGCTATTCATTGGTATACAACACCAACATTTGTTTCAAAACTTATTAATAAAGCATTACGAACCGAGGATTTTCGTGCACTTTATATTTGTCGAGCTTATATTGCTGATTTATCTGAACAACTACATAAAGAATATGAACAATATAAACAATTATTAATTGAATTTGAACAACCATTAACTCAATGGATTGTTTATCATGGTCGAACAATGTCAAAAGAAGAAATAGATATTTTATGTAGTAAAAAAAATCAATTAATATCATTAAATGGATTTTGATCAACAAGTCGAAAACCAGAAGTTGCTAATTATTATTCAAAGGAAGTTATTTTTATAATTCAAACAACTTTTAATTTATCTCATGGATGTTTTACACATGTTGCACCTATGAGTGAATTTCCACAAGAAGACAGCAGTGTCACATATCCAAGATTTTGGAGATGCCACCACATCTCCTGCGGGAGATGCCGCATCTCGCGCGAGAGATGCGAGTGTGGGTGTGGGGGATGCGTCTCTCTAAAGGAGGTCTTACATCTCCGGTGGTGAATGACCACATCTCCCGAGTGTGGGTGCCGCGTCTCCCGCTGGAGATGCGGCATCTCCCGTGGGAGATGCGGTGGCATCTCCAAAATCTTGGATATGTGACACTACTCAGATTATGATATTCGTGCTCTAGAAATGAAACAACGTCTTTTTCCACATGATCATCCAGATATAGCAACAAGTTTAAATAATATTGGTTTAGCATATTATAATCATTATAATTTTTAACAAGCACTTTATTATCATCAACAATCATTAGCTATGAAAAAACGATGTTTACCATCAAATCATCCTGAATTAGCTGTATCTTATTGTAATATTGGTCTTGCTCATTTAGCTTTAAATCATTATGATGAAGCACTTATTTATTATATGCGAGATTTATCGATGAGTGAAAAAACACTTCCTTCAGATCATGCTGAAATCGGTATAACTCATCATAATTTAGGTCAAGTTTATCGAGCAAAAGAAAAAGGAAGTCATTTAGCATTGAAACATTATCAAATGGCTATTGATATTTATATGAAAAGTTTACCACGTCAACGTCCATATATCGGCAGGTGGGGTCGTCTAAGTAGAAATCGTATTTTTTTGACACTTCTTGTCAGATGTGTTCAGTTGTATCCACCTCCTCTCTTTCATGGCCAATCAATAGAGCCTGTGTGGTTCAAAATTTTTGAACTCGAACTTAGAGCTAAAATCGGAACTGAACTTGATCGAATCGTGCTTTGATATTTTTTTTTATTCGGTGACTACGTAGTGCATCGTAAGCATTTCTCAGAGGAGTATAGCCCATCGGGTCGAAAGTTTTTGGATCCGGGCCCCAGTTAACAGAAAAATTTCATGTGGCGATAATTACAACTCTTTGTTGTTATGTGCAATGGCGGACATTTCAAGAGAACATTATAACAAAAATGAGCTTTTTTACATTGAGTGGCACACCCTATATTTAGCGGAAATGTTGATTTTCACTGAGTACAAACTTGAACTTTGATTATGAATATTTCATCTTCTTTTCAATTAACGTCCTTGCAAATTGACCGAGACTTTACGTTAGAATATTCTATTCTGGTCATCTTTCATCAAATGTCCTCGATCTTTAAGAATATTGATTGAAAGTGATGATTATCGCAAACTTTCATATAAAATGATGACCCTTCTAAATATTCATACATGATGAAATAGTTAGTCCTTGAAGACTTTCAGACGCAGCCACAGAGCGACTGGCAGATAACAGATAAATATTGTCTGAAAAACTTAAGTTGTATTGAACAAAACTCTGCATATGAATTATTGTATGTTAGAAATAGATAACTATTGGAGAACTTGAGTATTGTTCGATTCTCGCAATTATTATTAAGGTTAGATCTAAGGCTACTGCTCGATTTTGCAGACAATAGAACAGTAAATATGTTGAAGATAAGTGCAGTTTTCTATCTACGAACGTGGCCAAAATAAATAGAAATATAGATGATGTCATTATTCATAGTTCACTTGTTACTTTTATAGACAAAAAACGGAGATCAATACCAATGACACTGGAAAATCTCATGTAGCTGCTGCTGCACAACATAACAATCTTCTCATGTAGCATAATCATCAATTATTTCAACACCGCATTTATATTCGACTGATTCATTCAGTTTATTTTCTATTTAAATATACTCCTTCAAATTTTGCTGAAAGTTGTGTGAATAAAAGAAAAATTTTTCTAGTGTCTAAACGTTTAGGAATGTTTGTTTCCCACACCTCCGCTCTGTTCAGTTTTGACATACTTTCTTTTCCTACATGTTCTTTATGAATGACTCCTGTCATTGATGTATATGGGAGAAGTGTTGTGTGATCAAAACAATTTAGAAAATGCATTTCAATATGCAGAAGAAGCTTTTCATATTCTTGAAGCAACACTTTCTGAAGAACATCGACGACGTGCTAAGTCAGCATATATTTTAGCAAAAGTTTATAAGAAAATGAATCAAAATAATAAAGCATTAGAATATGCAAATAAAGTGTATAATATTCAATTGAAAACTCTTAATATCAATCATAAAGAAGTACAAAAAACATTGGAATTAATTAAAAGTATTGAAATAATAAAAAATATTTGAATTTTAATTCTTATTATTTATTTATTTTTTTGTATCAATAAACCAGATTTTATAAATTGTTCTTTTCTGTATCATCATATCTTTATTACAATGGCAAGAGAAACGAAAGATGAGTACAAATTTTAAAAAAATATTACATTCACTAATAAAACTTTCATGAGAATGTAACAATTAATAGGAAAATAAAAATGAATAAAATATTGAATGTCAATTGTTTTGTTACTAATGAAAACATATGGTGAGTATTTAGTACGTTGTTTCAATCTAAAATGATTGAATCTTGATATAGAAAAATCTCGACTTCGAAAGAAACGTATAGCTGAAAACATTTTCTTTAATAGTTCAATGATTTTAATTAGTATTCAAACAGTTCTGTTGATCTTCTTGGCTATTATAAGTTCGATAAAGTCGAAGTAAAGCTATTTCGTAGTTCAATATGTAGTAAACATTGATTTATGTTAAATTACTTTCTGTAACTATTGAATAATAAGAAAAATAAAACTAAATGATGTTCTCTAGTTTCATTTGAAAACTAATCGCCATGTATTATGAAATGTACTTAAGAAATGCTATTACATAGATATCATATTAAAGGTTCTTGCTTTTATGTTATAGATTATGTATTTTCCGATTGTTTTATGTAAACAATAAATATATTCTATTGAATATTTGATATAAATGTCATATACTCTAATTCGATCAATGAACTTCTGCTACATTACAACAATGTATTACATATCTAGCAATTATATCTATGACTGTTACTCCAGCTATATTTTCTCTCTAATGACATTCTATTAGAACTCCAAGTAATAAAAAGAACGTTGAAATTAAATGTAGATATCATTCTAACACTCGCATTCTCTGTTACTTTCACTCTCACTGATAATCTTTTCAATAGGATAAGAGCAAACTTCATACAGAACACAAGCGTTATGAAACTAATAGTCATGAATTTAGTAGTTAGATCCATAATATGTTGTTATGCTGTAGAAATTTTATTGACGATGTTAGAACAAACAGTCTTCACATAACTACATACGACATTTATATCACATATTAAGCGAAATATATTAAGAGTTAACATAGTAAACTACAGGACAGAAAAAAAAACGAAAACGAACATAATGATACTGAAAAATAAGTGATTTTTTTCTTTTATATCCATAACTACAAGATGTCAAGAATGATTATAATATTTTTCTTATATTTATCATTTAAAGCAAAAACAAACACTAAGTCATAAGAGTTCAATATAATGTCTAATGTTTAACCAATAAAATTAATAACAACTAAATGTAAAATAATATGAGCAAAAACAAAATCAGCAAAAGCACGTTCAGGTGTAACATTAAATGTTGATTGATTAGCCTTATTTAATTGAATGCGTAAACTTGCTAGAAAAGAAAAGGAAAAAAAAGTTTTATTTAGAAAAAAAATGAATTTTTACCAGCTAAAATAAAACAACTAACAGTTGAAATAAATCCTGAAAGAAATGAATTAAATGGAAATGTTCCAACAAGAAGACAATAAGTAAATTGAATAATTCCCGTTAATAAAACATAAACTAAATATGCATCAATTAATTTTAATTTTTTCGGCGTACTTATTTGATATTCATCATTAAGTTTACGTAATATTCCAACTACTTGTCCTACTTGACTCATTTTTAACTAAATACAAATCTAAAATTGAACAAACCAAAAAAAGAAAAAGAAGAAAATTCATTTTTCATGTCTTATGTTTTTTTCTCTGCACAAAAATTTTAGCTAAAAGAACAAAATAACAATTAGAGATTAAACATATAGGTTTATTTTTATTATTTAAGAAGCCATTAATGGTATATTTCCAGTTTCTCCTGTTGTACTTTCCATTGTACTATTAACAGATGGTGATCCTGTACTTGTCGATGATGTATGTGGAGTTGTTAAACATTGATATTTACCATCAAGACCAAGTTTCCATAAACTAACTTTATCGGCTGCAGCAACAGCAAGTATATCACCTGTTAATGACCAACTAACACTCCATACATCAGTAAAATGTGTATCAATTTGAGTACAATCCCAATTTAATGATGAACGTGTATCACGTGTAAATACATATACATGACCATCCTTTATAAAACAAAAAAAAATGTTTTATGTTCAATGGAATATGAAAAAAAAAATCTTACTTGTGAACAACTAGCAATTTTATCTTTATGAAAACTAAATGTTGGTGCCCATGCAACATCTCGTACCCAATCATTATGTTGATCAAGATGAGCTTCTTCTACCCATCCATCATCTTGTTCTCTAGAATAAAATAAAAATTTATTTTTCTAGTTTTATAAATAAAGATTTTGTTTAATAATTTACTTCCATATACGAATTAAACAATCACATCCACCTGAAACAAAACGTTTCACAGGTTCACCTGTTGTACCTTGTACACCCATATCATCACATGTTTGTGGTAATACAGCTGGTGCCCAACTAAGTGCATTAACACCCGGCTAAAAACAAAAGTATACGATAAAAGAAATTCTTTATAAATCAAAAAAGTATCATAACTTTTTCGATCATTTTTCACTACAGAAATGAATATATGTAAACTTCTAGTGCAAGATTTTTTCTGTATAAGAGAGTACGCATTACGAAGTTCTACTGCGCGTTGATAGATGGTGCCACCTATTGACATGTCAATAGTATACAGAAAAGTCAGTTGGGTCTCGTACTTTGATACTCTTAACGATATTTCCTAATCGTATTTGGATCGGAACGGAGAAGATACTTCTTTTCGATTTTTTGTATTCGATGACTAGTGCATGTTACACATTTCTCAAATCAGTAGAACCTATCGAATCCGAAAATTTCAGACCCGAACGACTAGCTCTAGTACGTACTAGAACTTGATAAGGCATACATTATTAGATAGAGGAAATCTGTCTCTACAAGCCTACGTATATGCTATTCTCTAGTGAAAATTATGTAATCATATTTACTAACGGGATGACAATCAGGAATTTTCTTAGTTGTCCATCGACCATCACCTAAAAAACAAACTTTTATTTTAAAGATTTATGAAAAATTAATTCATACCCGTAGAGCTAATAATTGAAATTGAACCATCAGAACTTCCACATGCTAACATTAGACCATATTCATATGGAGCCCAAGAAACCGTATTAACTAAAATATAATTGAGATTAGAAAACGAACATAAATCAAACGGTTTGATAGATGACATCAGCGAACTTTTTTATGAATTATAAAATCGATACTAATTTTTGAATGTTTTATCTGACAAATGTTAACAATAGATGAAATATTTGACACTATATTCATGATTCATAGATCAAAATCGTAATTCTTCAAAACAAACATCACAAGAACAAGCTGTATTTGTGACTATTCCAACTTCTTGAAGCCTTTCATTCACTCTTTCACTGCAGTAATACTTATGCCACTAAATACTTATGAGTGGACGAGAAACATTATTTAACCGAAAAAATTTTCCACTTATATCTAGTCACTAAACGAAAATTCCAAAAATTTCTCATAATAAAGATTTCTGATTGTTACCAGTTGTGAAGTGTAAATCCCATGAAAGAAGTTTTGACAAAAAAATCGATGAAAATGGCGTCATTTGAGTGTGATTTTTCACTTCAAAACATAGGTTCCATTAGTTTTAATCTCTTATGATCGATTAAAATCGAATTTTTCTGTTTTCTTACATAAGATACCTTCGTTGAAAAAAGAAATAAAGTTCGGATCGTGTGACTCAACAGAAAAATTTCTCTAGGCCAAGCCAAACGACTCATTTCGAATCCTACTATGATGACAGTCCATCAGCATGTGATAAGTTATAAAACGCAACATTCTTCAACTATCTCAATAAGAACGTCATAGATCAGTGAAACATTATATAAAAACTTAATATTTATTTACCAGATGATGTATGTCGATCATATTCATATATAGATGTATATTGTGTACCACCACTCGTATTAGTTTGAGATGGTAATCCAGTTGATGGTGTTTCTTTCCATATTAATACTTTCCTATCATATGAACAAGATGCAAGTAAACTTCCAAATGTTGGATGTGACCATGATAATTGCCAAACAGGACCATCATGTCTTTATATAAATAAAGATTTATGATCATTTCTTTTTGTATTTATATTTAAATATAATGTTTTCTTTTTTACCCTTTTAGTTCAGCTATAAGACGCTGTTGATTATTTGATACATCAAATATTTTTATACTTTTATCCGATGAACATGTTGCTAAACGTATACCATAATAATCTAATTGAGCATCATGCTAGAAAATTTTATATCATATTTTTTTTTTCATATTTTACTTAAATATTACATACAATTAATTCTTCATGACCAGTATCAATAGCGTTAATTTGAGTCTATGATGAGAAAAAGAATTCGAAATTTATTAAATAAAATCAAAAGATTTTTTCTTTACCATTTTGTTAATAGAAAAAAATTAAAACTAAATCTAAAAAATAAAAGCAAAGAAAATTTGATTTTTTTTTTTGTTGTTTTTATTCCACATGATCATGTGGTGGTCTAAAATATTTATAAATTTCTTTATGAATATCAGCAAATAGAAATGTTCCTATAAAAACAGCTGCTGTACCAATACAATGATTCAAAGTAAAATCATTTTGAAAATAAATTATTGAAAAAAGTAAACTAATAAATTTTCTTAATGTTATTACTAATGTTACAATTAATGATGGACATTCTGTTGTTAATATAAATACAGATCGTATACAAAAATATTGTGTTAACACATTACATATTAAATAAGCCCACATAATTGGAATACCAATATTTGAAAATAGAGGTAACCAAGCTGAGAAAATAAAATTTCAAAAAAGAAAACATTGAATATCAATCAAAATAAAAAAAGTTTACTTGATTGATTAAATAATTGTGCATGATGATAAACATGTTTACCAACAAATGCAAATAATGGTAACGGTAGAAAATGCTAAAATTAATCATAAATAAAGAATTTTATTGTTATTTTTATTTACTGAATAAAAAAGTGCTTCTTCAGGATATCTGCCATATTCTGCATAAATTGTTTCTTGATAGATACCCATCAATGCCGAAACCAGTAAAGCAAATATCAGCATTCCAATACCTATAAAAATCGATTAAATTAAAGACGGCTAAAAAGTTTTGACTATAAAATGGGATGGATCTAGGTTGCAGAAAAAGTCTTCTTCTAGAAACCTACATATTATGGAGTTACGAGTTCAAGCTTTTGTGGACCTGTGCCTGGAATTCACGATGATTCGTATTTATCTTGCTTATCTCTTATTGAAGAATTATGCGCTTAGTTTCAGAAGATTTCTCGTTCGATTCTCTACACAACCATATTGGTAAAATTTATCAAATTTTCTTATTTGAAGAGCTGACCGAATAATACTGTCCTGTCCTAGCATATACCAATGGTTAGTACAAAAACAAGTATTATTATTGGATATTTGTAGAATTAGGGCGTTGAACTCGATGTTTAATCTGATTGATTTTCGACATTTTTCACAAATATAAATGTTAGCCTTTTCTTCAACATAGATCTTTAAATACCATAAAATAACATGTTGACTCAGTCTTAGATATATTTCACTCATGTCTAAATAAGTCTCAAAAATAAATAAGATTAGATATAAAATGATTGATAAACAATTATTTACAAAAATCATAATTTTACTCATGTTTAGTGTAAATTATTTAAAACAAAATATCATACCAATGAGCCATTTAAAAAAGTCAGGTTTAATTTCAGTCATTTCCATATTGCTTGCTTGTTTTTGTTTATTCAATGATTGACTAGATGCGTATGTTGCCAAGAAGATTCCAAATGTAATTAATAAAACAGAAAATATTTGACGTAATGGATATCTACAAATAACAAAAATCAAAAAAAGGATTGAATTATTATTCAATCATTATCGTTGTTTACCTTTTTTTCAATATGATCATTCCCAAAACAAGATTTGCAATTAATGAACCCTAAAAAACAACAATAAAAGCTATTATCACAATCCATGGAGGATAAAAATGTGAAACACGATGTAACTGCACAAGAAGGTTGTTTTATTCTATCTATTTTGGGACATATTTCTTCACCATTCTACTCCAAAAATGCAAGAAAGTCGTAATTCATATACAATCTGTGGTCGTACATCAAAGGTCGCAGCGACCTATTCACGTTGCTGCGTATTCCCCAGAGTTAATTGTTAGAAATTCAATAATAACAATATAACATATAAGATGCTAAGGGCGCATACAACTGTCATGATAAGTTTTGATCCTAGAAGATTTTCGCTATACAATCATGTATCTACTATGAAGCTCTATTGTGTACTGTTGAGATTTCAATTGTGGGCACCAGCTTCTTTCTGTTCGTCTGCAGGAACGACGAAAGTAATGTCCTCAACTAGTAAACAATTGAATACAACTTTCAAAGCTGTCATATACGTAAAAAGCAAGACTTGAATAGTTCTAAGTACGATACTTCACTGTATTACACTCTTCCTTAAGACTACTTAAGTCTCGCCTTTTCATGAATACATCTAAGTTAATAAAAAATAACTTTATTAATGATGACGTGTTTCAAACTATGAATTAAGAATTCTATTAGGATAGAGCTCAAAACTTAACGAAATATATAAAAATGCAATTTAAAAACAAAAATTTTGACAGTCGCATTCAGTAGTTTACTAAAATTATGCTTTCTTTAATAAATCAACGAGACAACAATATTTGTTGAACAATTGAAGTAAATTTATATAGAATTTCTCGAGAACTAAAAGAAAAGAAAATTTGGCTCACACCCGATGAAATTGCTAGATATCGACGAAAAGCGCTCTCCATGGTTCTCTTGATAATAATGACAAATTTCAATGTAAAACTAGCTGCTGTGAAACTTCAATGAATTGAAAACTAATAAAAATCAATTATGAAACAATACAAAAAAAAAATAGTCAAAAGAGATATAATATAAGTTATATTTTTCTTTCTTGATGGAAAATATTCAACAGGTATTTTAGTGAAAAGTTTAAAAATAGACTAAATCTAATCCAGAACACATCCTATATCGTATAATTTGAGCGAAGTCAAAAGTGATGTCTCTGCCATTGCCTTAATGAAAAATCCTTTTCCAAAAATAAAAAAATTATTTTCCTGATGTGAAACGCATGTTCGGAAATTCCTGACTACATCTCCTTTGTGTAAAGTTCTATGATCACATATCATAATTATCATGGTATCAGCGATGCATATTATCACCCCTGTACTCTAATACTTCTCTTATGAATAAACATATCCAAGTGTCAAATCGCTTTTCAATCAAAACTATGTGCATCCTGTAGATCCTAATGAGCTATGAATATCCTGAAAAAAGTTTGTATTGGTTTATTACTATTGAGTTAGTACGTTTTTATGTTGCGATTTGACACTTGAATATGTTCTCTTGTTAAATCGTATTTCACAAAATTCATCAATGAAAATATTATTTAAAACGTATTTTACCGATCGAAAAATCATGTGTAATGGCATTGGTATATTAAAATTCAATGCATAATTATTAACAACACTAACCAAAAAAAACATCAATACTAATATCGCATAATTTCTACCAGAATAAAAAATAGATTAAATTGAATTTTATTTAAAAACAAAAAAAGGTTCAACACAATTACTTGATTGGAACATGTCGTTGTACTGAACCCCATTTATAATAATTAATAAAGCCTTCAATAGCAATAAAAAGAAATTGAGCAAATGTTACTATATTTCCACTTCCAGGATATGGTCTAAATAAAAAAAAAAATTTTTTTTTTTTGCATATATAAAAATTTATTTCATTTAACATACTTAACAATAAGTTCAAGAAATACAACATTTGAACAACAGCCAAGAAAGATGAGAGCTATTGTTTGTAAAATACGATTCATCTTTTGTTGTCTGTCGAATATATATTTATGGGTGACGTGGTTATTATAAGCTTAAGTTTTTTCACCAATGATATATAGAGATTGTCTAGAGGACAAAAGAAATAAACTCATTGGTTTACAGGGGGAAAAAACAGAGGAAGTTGCTGTGTTAGTAATCAATTCATTTATTTTGAAAGATATATATATATACATACATTAAGGAAAAATGAATTCGAAAAATTTCTATGATAAACATGCTGAACATCAAGATAAAACAAGTTTAGGAAAATTACGTTCGAAATATTGGACAACAAAACAACTTGTTATTAAAAAACTTGGTCGAGAAGAAGATGAATTTGTTATTGCATCTGATGCTGATGTTGATGCTAAACTTGAATTACTTTATACAATAAAACAATCATGTCAGGATTTACTTCGTGTATGTTTATTCATAGTTTTAATTCTTTGATAAATCAATTGCTTTTTTTATTATTATTATTTGAAATAGATCATGGATAATTATCAAACAAATGTTCTTATTCTTTCACATGAAGAAACAGATATGGCTCGTTTTTTAAAAGATTATGCTCAAATAGATAAGACTCGAGCTGGAAAAATGATGGCAAGTGTATCAAAAGTTCTTGCATATACAGCACATCAACGTTTAGCTTTACGTCAACCATTAATTCGTTTAAATAATGAAATCGAAACATTTCGTCATCGTGCCGTAACCGATACATTATCAACAGTTAAACGTATGGAAACAGCAAGAACAGAATATCGTGGAAGTATTTTATGGTTAAAAGATGCATCAGTACAACTTGATCCTGAAAAACAATTAGAAAAATTTCGTCGAGTACAAAGTCAAGTAAAAGCAACAAAAACTGAATATGATCGATTAAAATTTGATGTTATTCAAAAAATTGATTTATTAACTGCTAGTCGATGGTTAGTAAAAATCACATCTTTTTTTTTTCTACATAGTTATTTTTTTAGTAATATGTATTCACATGCATTAGCTACATATCAAAAAGCTTTACTTATTTTTTGGGAAAAAACATCAAAAACAATGAAAGCTGTTGCTGATTCATTTAAAGGTTATCAATATTATGAATTTACTGTTATTAAAAATCTTGCTGAGCCAAGTCGTTTATTAGCTGAAACGAATTCAAAATCATCATCTATTGATAAATCAAAAGAAAATGATAAACAAAAAAATGATGATACACTTATTGATATTAATGAAATAAAAACTAATCAAATAAAAGAAGAAATCATTTCGATTGATAATAATCAAAAAGAATCAAACGATCTAACTGAACCTATCAATGCATTAATTGATATATCTGATGATCAACTTGATAATCAACTTCTTGAATTAGAAAAATTAACAACAATTGATCGTAATACATTAACATCAACAAATTCTAAAACAACATCAAATAGTGGTGAAAATCTTGTTGAATTATCAACAACATCTGCTGAACATGACAAATTATTTTCTGATTTTCTTTCACCTATTTCATCTGGAAATACAACTAATGATCTTCTTGAAACCAATGAAAACAATAGTTTTGATGCTAATTGGACAGCAGCATTTGGTAATAATTTAAATCAACAACAACAACCAATATCTAATATTCATACAGATTCTACTACATCAAATAATAATAATAATAATAATAATAATAATAGTTTTCTTCCATCAACACTTCTTAGTGAATTATTAACTTCGATGAATAAAGGTAATAAATCAACAGTTCAATCTTCTTCTTCAAATCCTAAACCAAAACCTATAATAACAACAAAAACTACAGAAAAATCAAATTGGTTAAATTTATTTTCTGAACTTGATCCATTACAAAATCCTGATGCTATTGGAAAAACAGCTGGAGATGAAGCTGATAGAAATTGTTAAATAAAATTCTTGGAAAAATAAAGAAAAAATGTTTCTCTCTAGTCATCAATTTCAAATAAAAACAAAATCAATCAAAATGATCTGAATGAAAAAAGAAACAATGATATTAATTTTTGTAAATGGATACTATTCTTTTTTTCTTTGTTTTGGTTTTGCTTTAAAAAATTTTATTTATCTCGTTGTCTTGTCTATTAATGTATTATGTTCACTTAGTCGTTTTTTTTTTGGTTTTATTTTTTGATGTTAAAAAAAATATTTATCGTGAATATTTTCTTTTCTGAAGAAAACAAATAATATCAAGCATATATCGTCAGGTTAAATATTCCTATTATAAGATCTTGTACAATTCTCATATGATTTTAATGTCAGATCTTATACGATTTCTGTATGATTTTCCACTATATTGCATACCTGATTCTCTTCTATTATTTTGTTTTCTTAAGAAAGTCTTTAACTTTTACTCGCATATGTGTATTTATTTATAAAAATTACAAAACACTTAATAAAGATGCAAAAACATACACTTAATAAGCATGAAAAAATTATTTCTATTGAGTTTGGTCGTTAAAATGATCTAAAACTACTATATAGATGTATTTTCAATGTTTAAAAAATGATGTCTAACTTAGTACGTATATAATCGCTTAAAATCATTTAAATGCACAAAACTATCGTTAACAAAATTAGTTGTATAAGTAAAAGACGGTTCTTCTGCTTAATTTGTTTTTATATCTCACTGCATGAATAGTATCTAGTCACATCGACTATTTTCACTTAGTTTTCGAGTTTGATTATTTATTAAAGATGGCACCACAAAAATAGCCATTAGTTAGTAGACTTGATTCTTCTTCAAATGATACACATCGATTGCTACAACATTGTAAGAGTGAAAGGATAAAAGTGTGATCCCATCTGACAAAAGTGTACTGTGGCATATTAATATCGACATTTTTTTTACGTTTCAATCAATCTCTTCTTGGCAGATTTTACGAATTGAAAAACTACAAATCGTCGAGATTCCTTTTGCATATTCCTATTTTTCCTCTCATCTAGAGGTGTAAGCCGAAGGGTCAAACGGCGGCGGCTATTTTAATGGTCCAATTTTTTTTCCATGGCGGCGGCGGTTACTATACTTTATGCTTTTCTGCGCCGGTGGCGGCTTTGACAACAAAAAAAAACGTTTTTGCTCCTAAAAATGTCAGTGGCGGCGGCGCAGCTGGATGACTTACACCTCTACTCTCGTCTAGTTATATAATTATTTGGATGAGATAAAACTAAATAATTTACCGTAAAAACCTTTCAACAGAATCTAACATATCTACGTCAGTTATTCTTCTATCTTAATACCATCTCTCTTTGATTGCGAACATTTTTCCTTAATTGGAAGAAAATAGTACAGCATTTTTTAATATTATTGAATCGATTAGTAATGAAAACCAAAATTTTCTTAAATTAACAGATTACATTTTTCGTATATATATATTGAGCATTTCTTATTTTCTCTCTTACATTTATTTGGTTTCATTGAAATTCGACCAAAAATCTAACAACGACGTAGAAGGACACCATAGTCAAAATGGTTCGGATTGAACAAGAACAAGTTCAATAATGTTCAACACGTCCTAGAAAAGTCATATCAGAGCGGCAAAGGAAAACATTATTAATTCAAATAAAGCAAGATTATTTAGATAGTCTTTTGAATCTTAACGTTTATCAATAGATATTGCGGCTTCTTCTTTATTTTTTGTTATCGATATATCAAGGAATAATGATCTTGATTATGAATCTAATAAAAACTGGATATTCAATTATGTATCATTAATGCTTTTTTTCCACATAATAAATCTTGTCTTGATTCTACAAAGTGGTCATTTTCGTCTTTGTTCTTTGGATTCTACTTCGCCTACATTTTTTTGTTCAATGGTGAAAACAAATGTGTGCAATCAGGATATAGCTCTCAAATACACAATTTCACTTTTTACATATATTATAGAATATTTATTTGACTATACCCTATCGAAATCAATCAATGAAATATAGTTACAGCTCACTTAGAACAGTATAAATCATATTAATATTTTACATGTAGGTATATGATTGATTTCAGTCAAACTCTGTTTACTATAATATAAATTTGAATACATAAGAGGATAGCAATTGAGTAATAAAAAGAACATTTGAATTTATTTGTAGATTTATACAAAAAAAGAAATAATAGTTTATGTATATGTATATTTAGACCAAAGTAATTTCAATATTTTCTTGCTGGCTTGTTATACCATAATAACTTAATTTATGTCGAGATTTAATATGTCGACCTTTATAATACAAATGAAATTTGCCATGTGGATGAAATAAATGTTTCAAATGAGATTTAACATATTTTACTCTACGATTTTCATTTTCAGATATATTCATTGCCGTTGTTTTACCATCAGATTTACGAGTTATTCGAAGTATTATTTGTCGTGGTGATTTGCTAGTCGCCATATATATTTATTTAAATAAAAGAACTGATTGAAATTTGTTTTGTTTCAAAATGAAAATTGGCTTTTTTTTTCGTTGTTTTTGTAATTCCATAACCAACAACACATGGATAAATATACATCGTCATTCTTTCTTCTTTTTTTTCTTTTTTAACGTCGAAAAAAGAAGGAGAAAAGTTTACACACATAGAAGTTTTCAATTGTATGACAACATGAAATTAATGACTCGACAGCTTCGGGTAAAAGTAAAGAAAAGAACCCTGGTAATGTTTTTCAGATTCATCATACCAAGGGAGAAAAAAAAGAACAAGAAGCCAATTAACGACAGAATAGTGGTCAATAATTGGTCCAACAGTATAAGAAAATACTATCGAACGAAAATCGATATGATCATATTTGTTGTATGTTATCAAATAGACTGTAGAAAATGAGATATACTTACTTTTTGAATTCTTGAATAAAAATAATGTGAATATGTGTATATATATGTGCAATCATTGATCATTTTTTTTTTATATTCATCAAGAAGTTTGACGTATAAGTTTCTACTCTTTTTTTATTATGAAAGCTTTAATGAATTTCCATTTCTTTTTCATACAAAAAAGCTTGTCAAACTG